CTTGCTTGAACTCCTAAAAATTCCCACAGAATAAAACATAACTCTCAACTTTTTAGGTTGTGACTATTTTTTTAGATCAACAGAATGTCAAAAGATAGGGGATAAAAGTATTCGTACTTTACAGCAGAAACTGACACCAAAGGGTAAAGCAACTATACTCCAATAAAAATCCCTTTAAAAACCTCCCTAATGACAACTGCAATCACTGCCAGTGAATCTGGAGTCACAGGTCACCCTCATCTGCCCAGAGCTCCTTACACACCGGGCCCTGTACTTTCATACCTCCAGGCTGATTTCATCCCTTATTTAATAGATTTGGGTCCGAATGACCTCTGAACGTCTTTGGGCTGCTTCCAAAAACAACAACAGAAAAAAAGTCAAGTAAACCCTCTGTGAATGTTAATTTGCCACCGCTGATGTAATTCAAAAGACTGGGACTCAGACCTTGGAGGATCTGTCCCCTAAACGATCTCAGGGCTCCAGGCAATAAACCAATAAATGCCTTCCTCCAGTCGAGAGATTGGGTCCCCAGATACGGCGTTAGCTTGGGGCGTTCCTAGGAGGGGCTGCGGAGCGAACGGAACGGAAAGCCCTTCCCTCCCCCTTTCCCCTAGGCAGACAGGAAAGCCGAATCTGGGAAAGGACCCTTTGCGACCGTGCGAAGAGGTCGAGCTCATTCCCAGCCAGGGAAGAGCAGCTTTCACCCCTCTCCATGGAAAACTCCATGAAAATCTCTCCCGTGACAGTTTCGGAGTGCACAGGCCACCTCCGACCACCCTGAGCTGGCCCAGGTCCGGGCCCCCACGGGAGGGTCTCCGCGGTCAGAGCGGCTGCTGACCGCCTTCGACCCGCCCGGCCCCAGCGGGACGGTGGGTGCCAGGATTGTTTAGCCCTGGGCGCCCTCTGCTGCCGGCTCAGGGCATCACAGCCACTTTCCCTGGAAACCGGCAGCCAGGAGGGGCGGGACTTTTAGCAGAGAAAACAGTTTGAAAAACGAACCTCACGTGGACTCAGAAGGTCAAATAGACGTTCACTCAATGGAGGCTTAGCTTTGGAGAATTAGGCCCAGAAGAGAAATCTCAAAGGAGAAAGGCCGGAGAATCTCATGGAGATTGCGGAGAAACAGAGGAGTCAGTCCTAAGCTGGGAAGGAATCATCTTCTTGGTAAAGGGGTTGCAGACCTGTAACTCGCTAAGCCACCGGTATTGTGTGTGAAGTCCAAGGACAAGGCCACGTCAGGGATGATTCAAAGCTGGTTACTACTCAGCTACTACGCAGAGCAACATCGGATGTTTCCAAGGCACCACTGACAGACTTCTCTCTCAGAGGTAGAACTGGAGATTTTGGAGGGTGACTGAATGTCAGTTTTCAATGGGACTGTGTTATAAGATGTGTTGTTTTTTTCTCTGTCACAAGCCAGTTGCAATGTAGAGTGTAAAAGTGCTAGATCACTCCTTCCAAAATGTGCCAAGCCAGCTATGGGCTTTCTGAGCAAGCTGAAGTCACAGCACACTTGGAGGCGGCAACGCTAATGTCAGGCTACCTAGTGAAAAACGAAAAGGACAAGAGCTAAGAAGGCCGGGGTCCCCTCCTGGTCACAGGCAGCAGGCTCCTTTTCTGACCTTGGAGAGTCACTGGACCTCTTAGGACTTCAGATCCCTTCTCGGCAAAGTCAAAGATTTTGATGAGATGAACTCTGTTTTCTTCTACCTCATTGAATTAGTGTCTTAGAAATTAACTGATCTTCTATTCCATGACTTCATAAGGTAGTAGGAGATCGCCCTGATCTCCCAGCACCGATTCTAGAGGAAATGCTGAAAGACCTTATATCTTAGAAAGTCCAGAATCTAAAGTATAAAACAAATAGATTAAAGATCGTTAAATTATTAATGGAGCCCCTGCCCCTGCTGTGGGTTTAGTGCTTGTCCGATGATAGAGCGGTATAGCTGGTTTCTAACCCCAGTGGACAGAATTTTGTTTGTCCTTCTCAGTCAATTGAAAAGCAAACCATTCACGACACCTCTGTTGTTTCTTTTCCCCCTCATCTGCTATCTCAAGTAGAGGTGAAGTGAAGTCGCTCAGTCGTGTCGGACTCTTTGTGACCCTGTGGACTGTAGCCCACCAGGCTCCTCCGTCCATGGGATTTTCCAGGCAAGAGTACTGAAGTGGGGTGCCACTTCCTTCTCCAGAGGATCTTCCTGACCCAGGGATCAAACCCAGGTCTCCCACATGGCAGGCAGACGCTTTACTGTCTGAGCTACCAGGGAACTTCAATCTCAAGTAGAAATCCTCCCAAAGTTACCTCTTCTTATGTATTTCTAGTAGGTCCCTGAAAATCCACTTTCTGTTTTCTTCTGTCTACATATGACATCTATGGAAATTATACAGTATTGTTTGTATGTTTTAAAAATGTACATGAATGACTTTTTTGCTATCGATCTCCTTTTGACCCATCCTCCTTTGTTTTACTCAGCATTATGCTTTGGGATCCATCAGTGATGTTCTGTGTAACTCTAGCCAATCCCTTCTGATGGCTGCACACTATTCTGGTAGGTCGTCATTGGCCTAGAATCCTTTCCCATGACAGGCACTCTTGTCCAAGGCTCCTTGTTTACCTGTATGGGAGTTTCTCTGGGGTGTGTTCAAGGGTTAGGACTTGCCTAATTGCAGAGTAGTCACATGCTTATTTCACTCATACCTCTACCTCGCTCTCTACAAATTTCACCAATAAATGCTACCACTGGAGCTTGAATGACCCATTTCTACACATCCTTCCTTTCATTTGGTCAAATTCTTGATTTTGTCAAATATGTTGCACATCAAATGAGATATTTCTCTGAATTTCCTTTCTTTTATTACTGGAAAAGCTGAGGTCCATTCAATGTTCTTATCAGCTATTCAGATTTCCTCTACCATGAATTTCCCATTTACAGTGTTCTAAGGGATGCAACCAAATTCCTGTTAATGATTCAAAGGCCCCCAACATTCTGAAAATTGATCATTTTTTTCTTTCTTATAGGAAACCAGTGGGCTCAGCAAGTTCTTCCTGTTATCTTTTTACTTAAATAAATTACAGCAGGATTTATATGCAACTTCCTCCAAAAGATAAATTTCACATCTTGGCAACAAACAGAATGTATCATGCATGCACAGATCCTATGAGAAAATTTTGGTTCAAAATTGGACCAAGTTGATGTTCATTGCAGCTGCTAAAGAACAGAAAGGAGGCTGCTTGTTTAATGAGCCTCAGGTGCCCAGTGGGATTTTGACTAATTGTTATCGCTGCCAGTCATTGCTACCCTAAGAGGGTATAGAAGTAACCATCCTGACCTTCTGAAGGGGACGCAGAGGTACAGGTAAGGCCCCTAAAACTGTTTGGGGGAAGGGTGCAGGTTTGCTTGTGCATAGGAAGTAAATCACAAGAAAAGGACTGACATACAGATGATAAATAGATGGGTTGAATGACAATGTGCTGGGTAGAGAATAAGGAGGAGACTGAATTAAAATTTGAAAGTATCCAAAGGTTTCTGCTTTCTTCCTATCTTAATTAAAAATTAGGCCTGGCCTGAGTCACTCTTTTTGGGCAAGTGCCTAACACATATGTCCTTCATCCAACTCTTTTTTTTTCCAACTTTCTATTTTGTTTTTCGATGTTGCTTACTGAGTGGCAAGGGTTCCTTAAATAATTTATATATTACATCTTTGAAAACTATAGATGTCACAAGTGCGTTCTCCCAATCTAGTATCATTTATTATCTTCAATAGAATCTTTAATTTTGATGCAGTCAAATCTATTTCCCATTATATGGTGTACAAATCTGGAGTCTTGTTGGAGAAATATCTTTCTTCCCAAAGTTAGTGAAACATGTTCTCATTCTGAAGTATGTAGGACATTAACCTAACCACAGACTCCAGGAGCCAAGTGAGAGTCCAAGTATCTGCTTTGTAAGTGGTAGATTTGGACTAGGACTAGATTCGGACTATTTCTTCCTGAATTAAAGATGTCCAGATCCGCAGTGCAGGCTGGCCTGATTTACCCCGGCCCCTTCCCAGGTGGAGAAGCTGGCAAAGGGCACCCTGGGTGGTGAGCGTGGCCCTGCTCGAAGGCCCATCCCGTGGACCTGGGGAACACGTGGCTCATGCACTTGAACACACGAGGCACGCGGCAGCCAGTCAGGGCTGCGCTGGTCCACCTCGCCCAAGAGGTAACGAGACTGAGCGAGTGTTTACTTGCTCCCTGCCCACTAGTCAGACTAGTCACCTTCTCTCCCGTGAGGAGGAACAAGTGACAGGGCAGAGACGGAAGCTAAAAGGTTTTTCCAGTTTACATCTCTGGTCGAGAAGCAGAAGGCTTTCAGCTTCGGGCTGGGGTGGAAATGTGAGACTGGGACGAGAACAATTCCTTTCACTAGATGGACAGAATATCTTCATGTTGCGGTTGAAGAGAACGAAACTCGGGGAGGTCAATAGCTTGTCCTTGGTCACGCAGCAAGTAGCACAGTGAGAGTTTGAAACCAGCTCTTAATTTCTCCTCTGTGACCCTAAGCAGAAGGATGGACTCTGATCCCCTCCACGCTGTATCTCCCTCAAATCACTGCCTCTCAAGATACTGGAGCCTCATCTTACTGCTGAGAACTCAGAGAGCAAAAGGACTTGTCTGAAGCTGCCAGCAAATCAGAGGTAGAGGATGTGTCTTCCAAACATATAACGAAGCTCCACCCATTGCTGGTTGCTCTTAGCCTTGAGTTTTTGTTCTGAAGAGAACCAGTGTAAACAACAGAGACCCAGCTCAAGCTGATTTAAGCAAAAAAAAAAAAAAAAAGGGAACACTCTGTCTCCACAAGCAGAAAAGTCTAAAGGCAGGTCCAGCTTCAGGCATAGCAGGATCAAGACACCTGGTTGGTGTCTTTTGAATTCCTCATGCCGCCTCTTGGGTCTGTCTTTCTCTCTATGGAAACCATTCCTGGTAAGCTTGACCAAAGATGACTTACAAGGAGCTCTCACTGGGCATCCTGGCAGAGCAGCAACCCCGGGAAAAAGAGGTGTTTCTCTCTCCTCCTATTCCAGTATAAATCCTGAAGCAGGCATTCACAGCCTCTAACTGGTTGGACTCGAGTTCCAGATACACTTGTAGGGATGGTGGTAGAAACAGCAACACTTGAATCACAGAGGCTGAGAATGTGTAGGGGTAGCTTCTTAAACTGAAATGAAAAGTGAGATATGGTCACCAAAGAGGTTGGGAATGGATGCTGAAAGGCCAGAAAGAAAGAAGACACCGCTGGGAAATTCAAGCCGCCGTCACCTATGTGTATTCGTCTGTGGTTACCTGGCTGTACTCCCAGGCGCCTACGCTGCACACATATGCTATGCTGGTGTTTTATATAGGGCCTCACTCTATCTTCCAAGCACTTCTGTGAGGTGGGTACCACCACGAGCCTCATTTTAATGATGAGGACAGCCAAGCTCAGGAAAGTTATATTACTAACTCAAGGTCACATAGTAAGGAATGGAACTCAAACTCAAGAATGCCTTCACTTAAATTACATACCATTCACCACTACGTAGACTCCTTCACAAATAAGACAGCTAATCCCAGGAAAAGAGGACTGCGTGCATTCTGCCGATAATATGTCTCCCTGCCCCTTGTTGCCAAAAAGCGCAAATCCGCACTTTCATTGCCTGTGATTTCTGTCTTGAAATTCTGGATTTCTGCTCTACTCACAGACACTTCCTCCCTTGGAAAAAGCTGACCACCCATGTGGGAGAGCCGATGTTGTAAGGGGACAGCTGTTTGGGGGCTGTTCACAGCCACAGACACATTTTATTTATTTTAAAGCTGGAGAAAGATATTCTCCTCTCAAGATGCCTGGTTCCAAACTGGCTAAACCACTTTTTGTTCAAACTTTCCAAGCAGTTTCATCCCTGGGGTGGAAACAGAGCATGGAATGATTTGGAGCAAAAGGACAATTTGGGGACAATTATGAGTGAGTGAAAACAGAAGGTTATAATAGATGTTGTCTTTCAACCCTGAACTCCGGCATCTTGTAAGCAAGAATTCTGTCCCTCAGGTTTTGGTGGTGGGAACGTAATGCTGAGCAGTTGTCTGGAGCTGCTTCTAGATGTTCAGTAATTAGAAACAGGAGCCTGACTCGGGAGCACATCAGTTGGGTTACAGAGCACCAATTCACACACGAAAAAAAAGTGCAAATGTGCAAAGATTAACGTTGAGCAAAGATGAATAAATATTTCCTATGAATTTGAAAAGCGACTTGCAGTTCTCCTTTCAAAATTGAATTGTCAACTATTTCATGTATGTTAGTCCTATACGAGGAATGAGTTGGAAGCAAAGTTGAAAATTTTTCAGTAATGAAGAGAAGGCAAAATCTCGCGTGCAGGGGTATGTGGTCAATTCAGGGAGGCAATGCGGTTGGGAGGAAGTCAGGTGACACCCTAGGAAGTGGTCTGCAAAAATGTATGTTGAAATTTGGTCCAGGATGGGATCAGACATATTTCCCATTTCCTTGATGAGATTTAAAAGCTGGAAAACACCCAGCTATTGTCCATGACCTAGACACAAGTCTTCCTGGAGGCAGAGAAATGCTTTTCTAACTTAAGGATTCTTCAGAGCCTGTCCATCATATCGTGGGTGCCACAGCAAGGAGCGTGTGGAGACTGTGCACATGTCCTCACACACACACAGGCACACACAGAGTGTGATCATTAGACAGCCAGGCTCCTGTGGGATGCAGCAGAGGAGCGAACAGAGGCTTAGATGGAAATAGGAAAACCTCCCACAGGGTGGAGCCAGGCTGTCTGGGGCTTCCCACCCAGGTAGGAGTGCCGCTTTTGTAGCAGCTGCAGTGGTCACAGCCGCTGTTTTCTCTCTGGGAAACCAGGGTAGATGAAACCAAGTGGCAAGTAAGATGTTGACTCCTGGATCTTTATCTGTCTCATTCACCACTCTGCTCTATTCTTGGGAATATTTTGCGAGCAAACACGGCCAGAGCCTAGCACACTGCTAGTCTATACCTGTTCTACGATGTCTACTGAGGGAATAAATGGTACTTTTCAGACGTGGGCAAGGGCTCTGATCTGGCAGTCTCCTGGATCTTCGGCTCAGGGAGTGCTGAGTGCTGGAGTGCTGGGGCCTGGGACAGAAAGGACCATCCATACGCTGAACTTCGGGCGCCTGTGGGAGACGCTGCCGAGCCCCCAGGTGGCTGACTGCTGCCCAGTTCACATCCCTTCTTGGTACTCAAAGGGCTGCCAGAGCTCGAACCCATTAACAGAGAGGCCCGAAGGACCTGGCCCTGATGTGCAGCATTAGGCGGGCCTTAGGAAAAGTTTAAGAAATGTAATACTCATCAAACACACGTTATGTGTAGAGCAGACATTTACTCTATGTGCAATTCTATGCCAAGTAACAGGGTGATGCATAAAATGCTATTTTATTTATTTAAAAAAATAACTGAATCTGACACCACACTTATGGCAGAAAGCAAAGAACTAAAGAGTCTCTTGATGAAAGTGAAAGAGGAGAGTGAAAAAGTTGGCTTAAAACTCAACGTTCAAAAAAAACACAAAAAACCTCAGCGTTTAGAAAACCAAGATCATGGCATCTGGTCCAATCACTTCAAGGAAAATAGATGAGGAAACAGTGGAAACAGTGACAGATTTTGTTTTGGGGGACTCCAAAATCACTGCAGATGGTGACTGCAGCCATGAAATTAAAAGACGCTTGCTCCTTGGAAGAAAAGCTATGACCAACCTAGACAGCATATTAAAAAGCAGAGATGTTACTTTGCCAGCAAAGGTCCATCTAGTCAAAGCTATGGTTTTACCAGTGGTCATGTATGGGTGTGAGAGTTGGACTATAAAGAAAGCTGAGCCTGAAGAATTGATGCTTTTGAACTGTGGTGTTGTAGAAGACTCTTGAGAGTCCCTTGGACTGCAAGGAGATCGAACCAGTCCATCCTAAAGGAAATCAGTCCTGAATATTCATTGGAAAGACTAATGCTAAAGCTCCAATACTTTGGCCACCTGATGTGAAGAACTGACTCATTTGAAAAGACCCTGATGCTGGGAAAGATTGAAGGCAGGAGGAGAAAGGATGACAGAGGATGAGAAGGTTGGATGGCATCATCAACTCAATGAACGAGTTTGAGTAAGCTCCGGGAGTTGGTGATGGACGGGGAGGCCTGGCATGCTGCAGTCCATGGGGTCGCAAAGAGTTGGACACGACTGAGCGACTGAACTGAACTGAACTGAATATGGGTTATATGGTATACATAAATGCATGGGGAAAAGATAGAAAGATGTACATTGTTAACAATTGTTACTACCAGGAGTAGAGTGGAATTAGAGATGGTACTAAGGTGTATCTTTCATCTTCTTTATTTCTTTTCACAATGAGCATGCATTTATATATCACTTCTGAAATTCTTCAAGACATTTGTCATTTTTTGTCATTAAATACTTACAAATGTATATGTATTTATTTTCTGTCTCCCTCATGAAAACAGGAAAATTATATGTGGTGTGTCAAGGACTTGGGAGCACCTAAGTTGTTTACCTTTGTGTCCTCAGAACTCCAAACAGTTTCTGGCACAGAGTCTTTAATGTATATTTATTGATTAAATGATAAATTATTTATAAAATAAAGAATCAGAAAAGCATGTACTCCAAATGGTGGGCTTGATAATTTAAAGATGGTGGAGGAATAGGACGGGGAGACCACTTTCTCCCCTACAAATTCATCGAAAGAACATTTGAACGCTGAGCAAACTCCACAAAACAACTTCTGATCACTAGCAGAGGACATCAGGCGCCCAGAAAAGCAGCCCATCGTCTTCGAAAGGAGAGAGAAGAAATCCAGCTCCACGCACCAGAACACCAACGCAAGCTTCCCTAACCAGGAAACCTTGACAAGCCAATCATCCAACCAAATGGCGGGCTTAAGTCTCTAGAACGGAGCCTGGTCATGCGAAGAATCTAATGTGTGCGTTTAAATTGAATACTTCAGAAAAAAATTAATTAATTAAATACTTTGGTATAGAAGGCTTGGTGCCTGCTGTCAGGGATTTTAAAATCCATACATCCATATTTCCAACCATGTTACAAACAGATTATGACAAGTCTCATAAACTGGTACAAGCAAAGAGTAAAAGGGCTCAGGAAAGGGAGCTGTAGTTTCCAGTGGAGGTAATTAGGGCAGGCTTCATGGAGAAGGTGAGGTCTGAGAAGGGCTTTGAAAGATGATATCATAGTGTCCTGGGCTTACCATATGAGTTACACTTTGGAGGCTTAAAACTACAGAAATTTATTTTCTCACAGTTCTGGGGGCCAGAAGACCCAAATCAAGATGTCAACAGGGCTGTGCTTCCTCCCAAGGCCCCAAAGGAACCCGCTCCTCACTATTCTTGCTGCTCCTGGATGCCGGGCGGTTCTTGACGTTTCCCGGCTTGTGGCCGCATCGCTCTGAGCGCGGCCTCCTGTTCACATTGACTTAGCCTCTGTGTGTGTCTGTCTGACATTTCTCTGCCTCCATCTTACAAGGATACATGGAATTGCATTCATAAAGTGCTTCTCTCAAGATTATTACTTATCCCTTCTTTTGCCATATGAGGTAATTTTCAAGATTCTGGGGTTTAGGACAAGACTATATCTTGCATTTTTCTACTTAACAGGGCTGGAGAGGACTTCAAGGTGTGGAGGAGAGGTCAGTATATACGGGGTGCTGGGAACGGGGTATCACCGGTCCAGGACTGGTAGGTGGTCTGCTCAGTGGAAACCGGGTGGGTGAAAGGGAAGAGTGGGCAGTTCCTTGTCTTTGCACAGTCCACACTCCATATCTGTGGGTTCCTCACCCACAGACTCAACCAACCATGCATTGAAAACATTGAAAAAAGTTCCAGAAAGTTTTAAAATACAAAACTTGAATTTGTCACATGCCAGCAACTATGCATAGCATTTATAATAGATATTGTAAGTAATCTAGTTGATGATTTAAAGTACATGAGAGGATGTGCATTGCTTTTATGCAAATACGACACCATTTTATATAAGGGACTTGAGCATCTTATATTTGGATATCTACTAGGGGTCCTGAAACCAGTCCTCCACAGATTATAAGGGACAACCGTGTATACCACCAAAGGATTTGAAAATAGCGATTCAAACACATGTTTGTATGTTAGTGTACATTGCAACATTATTCTCAGTAGCCAAAAGGCAGAAGCAACCCAAGTGTCCATTAACAAATGAATGGATAAATTTAACATATGGTACATCCATGCAATGGAATATTATCCAGCTATAAGAAGGAAAGCAGCTCTGATACCTGCTACAACATGATGAACCTTGAAAATATTGTGCTAAGTGAAGGAAACCAGTCCCAAAAGGAAACATATGTTTCCACATATATGAACTCTGTAAAGTAGGC